ACGCACTGTATACTACAATTCGTATAAAAGAATCTAGCGGAATTCATACTCAGCGGAAAAATTTAATTCCGAGGGGGTCCGGGGGTTTCCCCCCGAGTTGGGGGTGGGTCAGGGAGGAGGGGCTTGCCCCATCCCCCAGGAACAGAGACCGGTAGATTGGCATTTAGTGTAAAAATGTTGATTTGCATTGAGTGTAACAGTGTGGATTGGCATTGAGTGTAAAAATGTTGATTTGCATTGCGTATAAAAAGTATTTATTAGATATACTAGAGCAACATCAGCAAACGAAATATCCGTGTTATTTTCAGCTAAACAAACACTACCAAAAATGTTGTTTATCCTGAATTACTCATGCACACCTAACTCCCATTAAATTTTATATTTTGTCTAAATCATCATTTTTTATCTCTCCTTATATATTACAGATAAAGGCTATAATTATTAACTTTGAGTGCGTTTCAGACGCTGGATCCGCTCACGAAGTGCGCGAGATGCCAGCTATCTAGTTTATATTTACCTTAAGTCACAACAAGAACTCAGGTCCTTTTTCCGTTGGTATTCCACTTTTTCGGAAACTCTACTCCGTTATCTGTCCAGATTGGATGACTTTTGGGTATTCCGGTCCGTTATCCGTCTATATCCGATACGTGGGGAAACTCTGGTCCGTTATCTGTCCAGATTCAACACATTCGCGTTCTCAGGTTACCTTTACCTAGTAACCGCAATTGATTACAAAGGATTAATAACGTTTGTTGAAGAGTTCAAGAGATCTAAACCTGTACGGAGCTTATAGGCATGCGTTTCAAAAATAGCAAAACTCGAAAATCCTACCAGAACATACCTAAACATCCGTTGGACGGCAGAAACGTATATACAGCGCCTGCCAAAAGTATTTTAATCGTTTGAAGTCTTATTTATTTTTAATGGTATCACTTACTGATATGATTGTGACCGTTTTGGAAACGTTTTTATTTTTTCCTTTTTCGGATACTACATGGTATTAACCGGTTTAGCAGTGCTTTTTAAAAAAGTATATTAGTCGGTTAAACACTTATAAAAACTTGAACTGTTTTTTTTCATAACGTTTACTGAAACGTTTTTTTATTTTTGAAACACGCACCAAATTTTGAGAAATAAAACTGTTAGTGTTGCTCAATGCTGGTGCAGTGTTCAAAGTGGCCTTTCAACAAGTTCTAAAACTAGTTTTACAAATACTAGCAATAAGGAAATTAGGCAGGCTAACTTGGTCAGTCGCGTGCGACATGGTTTGGCTGTCTTCCAAAAAATATGAGGAAAAACAACTCTATGTTTTAATAAGTAACAAAAACAAGAGTGGTGTCAGCGTTTAATGCATTACAACTTCTTTTGCGGTGACTTGTAATTCGGTCGAAATGATACGACCGTTCAACGGGTACCTAAAAAATGTCTTGTTGTTCCTTTTATTAAACAGAAAGCGTGACAACGATAAGAGACCACATATCCACCAGTGCTACTTTTACGAAAGCTGGAGTTATGTACACCGAAAAAACTGGAAACAGATAGAATACTGAATCAAAACCAAATTAAAATTATCCTGTTTGATGAAATTCTTTGTTCTGGCACAAAAAACAGTAAAGACATATATTCATATTCTGTACAGAAATGAGTAAAACCTGAACGAGGAGGTTTAGTGATTTTTTATTGCATCATATAGGCAGGAGTACGAGTTTTGAGTTTTATCGAATCATTTTAACTGCGTTCAGGTGTATAATGGGTCCCCGTTTCATTATATCAATTGATGGAAAGATAACAGCATTTTATGGGATAGTTTATTTCGTGTTGGAACTGGTTCTTCCGTCGAAAACGTGATGGCTAACAAACCCTATTTTAAAAGGCATTGTTTGATGTCAGAAATAGCGTTTCTGAAAAAACATTACATTTTAAAGTCAGAGGCCTTTTCGTACTTGTCAGATAAGTTCGGTACCAACAGTAATATTATACTAAGTCAAATTGTAACTGATGACGATGGAAATTTGATCATACATAGTTACAAGTTTGCAACCATCGTTCCTGTGGAGAAACTTTGTTTAACACAAAAACAAATCGATTAAAAACAACTAAATAAGATTTATAGCGCTTGTGGGGCTTTATTCTTATTACTAATAACATTTTAAAAATAGAAATCGTAAAAAAACAGTCACAAGGCGAGCTAATTGTCAGTCACAAAAGTTACAAAAGTTAAGATTTTAAATGGCGGGGCGGGGGTTTCCCCCGCAAGAGAGGAGGGGGGTTTGGGAGAGGGGTTTCCCTTCCCCCAAGAATACGGCCCCTAGTATTAGGCATGAAAGAGCTTATAAATATCTTATAAAACAGTATGCTTTTTTTAACAGTGTAATTTTAAAGCAGTGATGATAAAAAATATTGGGGGAAAGGGGAACCCCTCCACCCAAGAATGCGGCCCATACAATTAAGCATTAAATTGAAACCTTCTGAAAAACAGTATTCCTTTCTTTTTTTACAGCATTATATCTTAGAGCATAACTTTTTTTACAGCGCGATTTTGTTTACAGCGCCATGATTTTAAAGCGTGAGTTTTTTTCACGGCGTAATGTTTTTGAGCAGAGATACAAAATTAGAGGCCGGGAAAACCCATCCTCCCAGGAATACAATCCATAACATTAAACATTAAACTGAAAACAAGAGCTTATATAAAAATTGATTATTGTGGAGAAAGCTATTATATAAAAAGTGACTTTTACGGAAAAGGTCATTGAAAAAAAAAATGTTTTTCTGTGGGGGTTTCGTGGTAGAGGTCGCCCTTCGACCCAGTATAACAACCAATATCATTAAGCATTTTATTATCGAGGTTAGAAAAACAGTGTATGAACCCTATTTCACAAACAATATATCATTATTCGAGAAGAACTAAAAAATTGTTTGTTTTAGGTGGATAAAGGGGCCGCCTTTGAAATTAATATTTTCTATTATCAAGATTTTTATTATGAAGCAAAAACATTGCGCATAGAAATGTTAATCAGATATATAAACAATTAACACTTTTCCATAGATCAATTTTCAAGCCTGGGTCTAGGGATATCGTCTTTTTCCAAATATTCAAACATTGTTAAGACACTGGTAATAGTTCTTAAAAGATAAGGTGGATATAGGTTATTAGCACTGATGTTCATAATAAAGTAGTTAGAAAAGTGAGCACGAGACTGGAAGTAGTCAACTTAAGAAATCTTATAGTATAAAGTTTTTAGGATAAGAAGATAATCAACGATGAATTTAAGACGGCGTAAATAATATAAATATAAACTGATTGCCAAGACTAAAAAGATAAGTAATTATGTTATAATAAACAATATCTTATATACGGTTTTAGTAATAAAGAGATTCGAGTCGGGTGTCAAATATGAACTTTGAGTTAATCGTTATATGAATGGTATAGACTTAAGATAAATAAGAAGTATGAGAGTTGAGGGAAACACAAAGCAGTCAATTACGAATTATTAAGAAACTAGATTTTTAGTTAAGATAAAACTGAAGTAATATTTATTAAGAAAAAAAGGGACGTATTTATAGAAAAGATTCTATCATGTGTAACAACAAGCCACATTATTATTGGCTGAAACAGGGTCTAAAGACAGACATCCAGTAAAACATAACATTCACTCTGTGATTATAATCTAAACTTAATCCAAGTTTTGGTGTAAATGTGGAATCTTACTATACATATACTTTGATAAGGAGCTCTAATCCGTAACTCTTTTTAAGGAACCATGACCTGTTACATTTATATAAAGGTTCCAGACGTAATATGGAGATCCTATGTTACTAAAGTAATACACTCCATCTTACGTTCTCATCGATTTCTATCTCAAGTTAAGGTATCGCTATCTCGCGTAAAATCTTAATTAGAACTAAGCAGATAATCCACCTGAAGTTATAATTCGTATATAAAAGAACCTCTAATTTTATTTATGACAAACTCTACAACTTATAATAAAGAGATAAAGAGTCTCATTTCGTATTCCGTCTAAAACCTCTATACACATATACTTTAAATAAGCAATTATCACACTTTGAACTTAAATAACTATAAATCTAATACTGCTACTTTTTTTTCTCTAGGATATATAGGTTGACTTATGTAATATTGATCTTGATAATAGTTTCTTTAATGAGAATGAAATAGAGACTATCTTTACTAAAGTCAATAGAAAAAATTTAATTTTAATGCTTCGACAACAAACGCCAAGTTTGAGTGAAGAATAGGAAATTAAAAATCAGGAATAAATAATAACGATTTTTTTTAAAATAAAATGACCCACTTTAAAAAATATTTTCATCAATTGTTTTATTTAATGCTGTCCTATCATAACTATTGCCTGTAAGGAACAAAGTATTTATTTATTTTTCACAAGGATGGTAAATAAAGGATTGTGTATGCAAAACTGAACCATCCCGATGATCATGAAACAAGATCTATATGTCGGAATTCAGCCCATCTTTTTTTTTATTGATACTAGAAAAATACAGACCGTCTTCTTTTTTTTTCTCTCTATCTGCCTCTGTCTTCCCTTCGTATCATTTTAAAGTTATAGCACTATGCAACCTCGTAATACCGAGCCTGATTAGTTGTGGAATTGAGTAGAGCTAGGATACCAGGGACTGTAATCTAGATTACGTCTTGAATTCGCCGTCACTGGTAAATAAACGATACTAAACGTAGAAAGTGAACTCTATTTACTAGGTGGTCCTTATCTAGATAAAACGGTTGTGAGATGGCAGTGATGGAGGGGTAGAAGCTAAGGTTTTTTTTTCTTTACGCTCTATTTTTTGACCTTTATCAAAAAACTTTGAAGAGATTGCAAAGATACAAGCCTCCACGTGGCCAATCTCGGGCAACATTCATTATTGAATGGCAATTGTGTATCTATTTATATTAGTTTTGTTTGCTTTAATAAATGTTTTATTTTTAAACATTAAAATCATGTGTTGGATTTTAAAAAAAAACTTTAATTGTCGATCAAGTAATCGCTCAATTGTTGATAAAATCTATTTGGAAACAAACATCTTAGATAAAATAAAAACATCAATACCGCTTACATTAATTTATCATTGAAAGTCAAATTTAAGCCTTTGTTGCTGCCATGAGGCACGCAAAAGACAGGTACACCCTCAAAGTTTCTGGGCTGCAGACCAAAGTTGACATTGTTGTTTGTACGGGGAACGTACAAAGTATATTTACAACATATTTAACCCACAAAACAAATGACCCTTGGATGAAAGTTTTGTATTGCAATTTGCAAACGATATTTTCCAGCAGCCAATTCATCATTATTAATTTCTTTTTCCGTTTGGGTGGCTCTGTCCACAAAGTTCATCACACCTGCATTGATCAAGCGAAGCTCGGAAGCTCTGTTCACTTGAATCTCACCGGTAACTCCTGCTTACTTTTTTAGAAATCAGAAATCATTTAAGCTCATCCAAAAAAAAAAAATTACCACTCTCGTTAATCAATCGATAAAATTGATTGTTTGGTGTTTCGAAATAATCGGCTTGAGGGTTAGCAGCACTTGGATTAATTCCTACAAATAAAATATTACAATTGGCGGGAATGTTCATGAAAAAAAAATCTGACTGGGAAAAAAGAAGTAAAAAAACACAAAAAAAAAAAAAGTAAGATGCATATATAAATATTAAAAAACTTGTTTATCACACAATCATTCCTCTTCTTATTCATGCTGGTGTAAGTACTCCCCGCAACGTATAAACTCTTCACAAATTCGGGCAGCGGAATAAGTGGGGTTTGGGGTAGTTGAAGGAAGCAAATAGTACATTATTTCCTCATCACCTTCAACTACCAAAGGTCCACACTCGACTCCACGGCCAAACCAGTATAAGCCCAACACCATTCCCACCAAAAGAACTATTGCTGGATCTTCCGATTCAATCAAGCCTTTTACTTTATCAATGCCTTCTTGAATCTCTGATTCTGGAATATTTTTCCAATTGTTATCCGCTTGATTGATAACATACCAGAAAGACTAGTTATCGAACTCCACCAGTTCATCATCATCCGCACCATCAGGCACGATATCAGCTAACGAAAAGAAAAGATTCAATTATGCATAAAACTACCAGTAATTGCTTTAACACATACCCTCTGCAGCTACAGGCCAAAACAAATCCCTTTTACCATTAAAAAAATGTTCCTCTTCATCTTCCTTCCAAGAGGAGGCAGGCATCATGCCCACAATAGCAAAATTCGTGTTGTTGGCAGTTTTATCTTCAGTGTAATTCATTTGGAAATATCGAATGAAGAGCAAAAAAAGGTTATAATTCAAAGCAGTAACATCAAAAAAAACTAACCTTAAATCAACTGGTCAATGAAATTCTTGATGGATTATTGTCAGATAAATGATTTAAAGATTAACAGTCAGAAAGACATGATATACCGCATATATGACACTCTTTTTTTTGGTTGAGGGATGTCACTCATTCGACCATGTTCAAAATGAAGTCTACAACATGAAGTCAGAACAACAACAACAAAAAGGTGTCAAGCTTTCTTTTTTCAGTTTAAATTTTATTACTGACATCAAAAGACTTGGCAACTATATGAATTTATACAACTTCAAAAACCTGTTTATTACTCTATAGACTAAACGAAAAGACACTAAAAAAACAAGTATATATAATCCTTATTTTTATCCATTTTTCTATTTTTCATTTTCATATTCATATTTACTTTGATATAAATTTTTTTTACAATGACAACTCCAAATTCTTTTGCCGCCTGCAGATCTGAAGTAATGGTAACCGTCCGGGGACGAGTAACACAGCAACTGAAGTTGAATGTTGCTTTTGGTAACGACGTCAGCGGTACCATCAAAATCCAATGCACTGGCAGGAACATTACCCTACTCATAAGCAACTATTGTATGTTGTTTTACTTATACAAAGCCAGACGCATGGACGAAGTTGCGGCATATGGTAAGTGCAGTAAAATGCAAAAAAAAAAAAAATCCCCCAGCGTGGCATTAACTAACTACAATTTTAAAAAGGCACCCAGGTAATCAGACCGTTTATGTCGGGTATCACCAACAAACAACCAAACTATGCACATTCGGCGAATGTCAAAATTTTGTGGACAGCAAGCACTAGGTATGAGATGAGTGAGCCTGGGGTGATATACCATACAAGTAATACCTCCTCCGTTCTGCGTACCTGGAGTTTGAAAACACAGAACGTGTGTTTAGAGGAAAATTAGACCCCAACATCCTGTATCAGGCCATTGGCAGGCACCACGCTGCGTTAGGTAAGTCATATATAACTCTTATAAACACAATTTTGTTAACATTAATTTATAAAGAACCCAATGATCCCATGCTAAAGGAGAGAGAATTTACCGAGGACGATTCCGTCTATCTTCGTTCCGGAGGAGAATTATGGACATCGTAATTAGTGAGAGACCTGCCGGCCAAGCCCCTGCCGCCCCAGCCCACCCAGCAGAATCTTCAACAGCAAGACCCGCCAAGAGGACCCGGTCGGCCGAACCCCAGGCCTTGTTGGATCAGGACGAGGAGCAGGAGGAGCTGGGATCTCAACCTGAGCACCCTATGGAGGAGACCCAGGATGACGCTTTTGTGGGGGGTGGGGGTCCTCAAAAGCCAAAGTCCAAGAAAAAATCCAAGGCCAAGTTCTAAACCTTCCCCTCTTCCTGCCAAAGACAGCTTTTTTTTTTTTTTTTTTTTTTTTTTTTTTTTTTTTTTGTTTAATTATTATCATAATTTTTTTTTTTAAATAAATAAATCCTTTTTCACGCCTCCAAAAAAATTAGCTCAATAAAAAAAAAAAAACTTCATAAAACAAATCTATTTCAACATTACCTTCTTACTCTGCCAAACTAAAAGATAAAAGAATTGAAACAAGAAACGTACAATGGTAATACTTTTTTTTTTGTGTGTGTGAAATCATATTTATTTTTTATTACGAGTAGATCGTCTCACTGGTGGTTGTGGCGTACCTTCTGGTAATCCGCTTGGACCAGGACTATCGGTCGCAGTTCGACTTCTAATTCTTGGAAATCTCAAAGATCGAGACACACGACCAACAGGTTCCTGTTGAACTTCAGGTGCAACAGGTGAAGCCTCTCTTTCTTCACTTGCTATGTCTTCTCTAGCACGTTTGGCTCTATTCTCCTGCGCCATCATTTCAGCCATTGGATCACCCTCCATTGGATCACCCTCAGGTACGTCTTCCTCCTCCTCCTCTTCTTCCCATTCCTCCTCTTCTTCCCCCATTCCTTCTCTTTTTTGACGTTCTTGGTCTCCTTCGGTATTAACATCCCTTTCCAACTCCTCAATAACAAAACGTGTAGTCTGGGTTCGAAAGTTGACTTCCTGGTAACCACTTTGTCTTCCGCGAGTGGTAACGATGGGACCTTCTCTAATTTGCAAAAATTGTTGAAATGCAGCGTCCGGTCTGGCCCTTCCAGGTAAAAAATTCAAGACTTGTCAATCTCAGTAGAAAGCGAGAATCCGTTGTCGGAATGGTAACACCGTCCAAAATGGCATATGTTACAAAGCCCTGGCAAGTGATCAAGCGTCCTTCATGGTACACTGGGTTGAAAAAATTTGGATCAGCATTCAAGAAAATTTCTGCTCTGCCAACAAGAGTTACAATCGACAATGGTTGATTAATCCAACAAAAAACAGAAATGATACTGTCAATGGTGATTTCACCTTCTGGAATTAAAGTTAATGATGGAACAATAAGACCTCGCACTACAGTCATAATAAGATCTTCACCAGTGTTATAATCACACATTCTTGGGAGAAATTAAAAAAAGGTAAAAAAAAAAAGGGAAGGCTGAATAAACCTGAATGTATCAAGCCTTTATTTTTCAGTAGTCATCATTTTCTCTGGAACAAATGATTTATTGGACCTGTTGAAATTTGGAAAGTGGATACAATGCAAAAAAAGAACAGCTAGGGGCATAAACAGACTATGAATTTAGAGGAGCCGCTTTTTTCAGCACAATGGAAGTTATATCACTTGGTAAGCATAAAGAAAAGGATTGTACAATAGTGTAAATTATAAGAGCAAATAAAAAAGTGCATTAAACAATGAGAAATTACTATATAAGAATGGGACCGGGCATTAAAGGGAGAACAATGGGAAAAGTGACATAATGTATACCACACATCCATATACATACTCTTTTTTTTTGGGGGGGGGAGGGAACAATGGGAAAAGTAACATAATTTACATCATATATTCATATATATATATACTCTTTTTTTTTTTTTTTTTTTTTTTTTTTGCTGTCTCTCCATCTCTCTTCTTTTTATTTTCAGTATCTTTTAGTGAATCACTACCTTCTTTTTTAAATAACGTGCCTCCAGTTTTAAATAGCGATTTTTTGGATTTTGTTTCAAATTTTTTTTTTCGAAATCGAAACGGTGGCATGTGTTTTATTTTTTTTTTTTTTTTTGTAGAATTCCTAAGTAAGACATACATCTGAATGTTCATTCTTATTGGTTTTGACTCATTGTGACCATGCTCATTGTGCAATTTTTTTTTATTAAGTCAATAAACCAGTATCAAGTCTAACTTTTCTGTGAGATAAATAAGACTTGCTGACAAATTTTTTTTACTTCCTGCACGACTTCTCTACCGTCACTACAATTACTATATGCTTCAATGTAGTTCATAGACCTTTGAAAAAATCTTTTTATATGAACTACATTGGAAGCTTTATCCAAATAGCTTGATAAGTTATCATCAAGAGACTTGAATGTGTCATCACATCTCAAACGTGCCTCCCTTTTGGCGGAACCCCAGTACATTTCTATCCAGTTGCATTCACAATGATATTTTGGATATGACTCAGAAATGTGACCTTAGTCAATAACGGCTTGCTGCAAAGCCGACTTTTGCGCCACAAAGTCGGGTCTACTTTCAAAAACGTGACGAGCACAACACATTGATCTGTGGCCTGGCTCCTTCGACTTACATAACATTTTCTAAGCCTTGCCTTCCAGATCACGACCAACCCATTGGCCTCTTTCCTCCAAAATCTTTCGAATACCTTTGAAGTATCGTGTCTCCTTTGTCTTCACGACATACCCCAGTCTGTTGGTGACCCTGGTCTTCTTGGTGTAAACGAAAGACTGCTCCAAGCGAGTGCCATCCGTTAAAATTACAGTCGTGTCTTTGAACTGATACTTTTCGTTATCGTTGTATGGCCTCTCATTAAGTGTCATACGACTTGCAACAAGAGCATCATCACCGAATGCATTGTGATTGGAACTGTTGTCAAAGAGAAAAACAGCTTGACAAGCAGGGTGGAGCAGTTCAAACAAAAGGATTGCATCGTCTTAAAGCTGCTCCAACATGTCAGTGTACTTCCAGTACCCTTCTCTGTCCACACCCGCTTTGCAACATTTTCTAGAAGTCCAACCAGCACTCTTCATGGTTCCATGGAGAGGCCATTGAAATTCACTGACCATTATTGACGATCCTGGGCCCTTCTTTCTGATATGGTTCTCACCTTCTAACAACCACAGATCATCCTTACCATCATTTGCATAAAATGTAGATTCATCGTGCGTAACAAACACAATTTGTTTTATAACTTCATCCAGAACTGCCTCCAGAATCTCCTCCTCATTGTCACCAGCATAAAATTCTGATCTTTTCATGTATTTGACCATTCTTTGAGACCATTCATGTCGGTAGTTGACAACATCTTCTCTTTCATGGCCATGGAAAAAAATAGTCTTTTCATTTTTTCCGTATGAATATCCCCATTGGCACAAATAACGGCAAATTGTTGTCATACTTAAGTCCCTTTCAGCCACACCAAGAACAGAAGGAATGATTTGCTCGTCGATACTCTTTTTAATGATAATTAAGGAACGAAGAGCTGGTTTCATTTTTCTAATTTCTTTCAAAACGGCCATCTTGACATCCGAGTCACTTAAAAGTGATACTCTCTTAACATGGGCATCTTGAGAGTGGTCAGAAAGCTTACCCTCGTCAATGAACTCCTTTGTCCACTTGACAATGGTCATTCCACGGTATTCCCTTGAATTTTGGGGCCAGAATTTTTCGGCAGCTTCTTTTGAAGCCAATCCTTTCTTTTTTCCACGCAAACGATTCAAGCAATATCCGTACAAAGATAAATACCTAGCATTGTTGTATGATGCACGAGCATTATCGTCGTTCTTCTTACTCATTACGGGTAAAATAAGAGCCTTGACAGCAGGCATAATTTTTTTGATGCCTTCGATTTCTTTTTCCGTGTGAGGAATGAACTTTGTTCATTGCTGAGTTTCTACACTTTTTGCAACAGTAAATTCAAAACGTTGAAGAGTCTGGGCTGGATCTAGCTTTGCAGCCTCGGCATTCTTTCTCCATTTTGTTGTTCTGGATGTACCAGTAAACGTAAGTGGTCTTTTACTTATTTCTATATTTCTATCTGAAATAATATCAAGAGAACTCGCCTCAGCTCTTACAACCTCGGCTTGCTCGACTAGTTGATCGTGGTTTAATTCAATGGTCTCCCATTCAGCGAGTATCACTTCGCAGATTGAATGAATCCATCTTCGTTTCTAAGTCTGTTTCTAATAGCCTTTTGTTTTTTGTTAGGTCTGGGCATGTTATGATAGAAAAATTACAAAGAGGATACAAAGGAGCATTTAACATTCGTCAGACGCGTAAGATTGTCTACGTTTGATTTTAGGAGGCGAAAACGAAAAGATTCTCAGCATTTATTTTTATATAAAATAATAAAGATACCTTAAGACATGATTGTATACAGTTTTAGCTACGTAAATTTATATCTAAACAATTTGTGGAAGATTTATATAAAAAATCTTAAAACTTTAAAAAAATGTCAAGTCGGCTCACCCAAAAAAAAATATGTATCCGGGGCAATATTACATGCGCGACATAGTGGTGTAACGAGTGAAAATGATAGAAGTCGTAAATACTTTACTTTTTTCTTATAAGTTAAAAAAAGGAATCATAAGACATTCTTGTACATAGTTTTCTCTTTTGTTTTATGTAACTAAATATTTCATAGAATTATTTTTGGAAAACCATAAGCATTTACAAGATCTGCTATGTTAGGGATTCCAGTGGGACTGATTTTTTTGGGGGAAAAAATTTATGACACAATTCTCAATAGGAATAAGACCATTCTATTGGCTGACATTTACACGAACGGAGAATGAACTTAATGAGGTGTGCATAGTAGAGTTTCAAATCTCCAACTCCACTTATACGCCCCCGCTTAATTTTTTGAAAAGCGACTGACTTTGATGTCCTACAACTTTTTTTTTTCAGTAAACGTATTTTTTTATTCATAAGATATTGTTTATAAAGACTCTTTAAATAATATCTTTTGATTCGCATTGGTATATCGGTTGATTTGGGAAAGTTTTAGGCCCTTAAAAAACACATAAAAAAGCGCTATTGTTAAGACACTGGTAATAGTTCTTAAAGGATAAGATGGATATAAGTTATTAACACTGATGTTAATAAGAAACTAGTTATGAAAGTGAGCACCAGACTGGAATTAGTCAACTTAAGAAATCTTATAATATAAAGTTTTTAGGATAAGAAGATAATCAACGATGATTTTAAGAGGGCGTAAGTAATATAAATGTAAACGAATTGCCAAGATTAAAAAGAAAAGTAATTATGTTATTATAAACAATATCTTATATACGGTTTTAGTAATAAAGAGATTCGAGTCGAGTGTGAAATATGAACTTTGAGTTAATTGTTATATGTAAAGTAAAGACTTAAGATAAACAAAAAGTATGAAAGTTGAGGGAAACACAAAGGAGTCAATTACAAATTATTAAGAAACTAGATTTTTAGTTAAGATAAAACTGAAGTAATATTTATTAAGAAAAAAGGGGCGTATTTATAGGAAAGATCCTATCCTGTGTAACACCAAGTCAATTTAGATTGGCTGCAACACTATTTAAAACTGGAGGCACATTACTACCTAGGGATGGTCTAAAATCCTGCAAAAATTATTTTTTAAATATTTCCTTTCTTTTCGATTACCCCACCATTCGCCGTTTTTCACTTACCGTCACAAAAATTCTTAAGTAGATCAGAAGTACTTGTCTGCAGCTAACGTATTGCTTATCCAAGGTTTCGGTGCAATGCCTCCACCTGTCTCTATTCAAGATCCACCCATTTAAACGAGAAGTTGTTTGCGCCCTGGAACCAGAACAAGCACCGTGAATAAGGTCGTCTTGGGTATCTACTGTACCCACCTGTCAACTTAAATGTCAACATGGATAAATACCCCTGGGTTATACCTACACCACCACCACCGCCTAATACGACCCCTCCACAAGATGCAGAAATGCAATAACTTTTTTTTTTTTCATTTACACTCAAGCACCCCGTTGTGTTCTGTTCTTTTTTTTTATTTACACTCAAGCACCCCCTTGCGTTCTGTTCTTTTGTTTTCTATACTCAAGCACCACCTAGCGTTCACAATAAAATAATATTTTTCGATATAATACACACTTTTTTTTATGATAAATGATTGCTCCACTATTTTTGATAGCATAGCTCCACTATGATAAATGATAGTTCCTTTCTTATGATAAATGATAGCAATGACATCCGGGTTTTTAATACTGATGTAAAAATAAATAAAGTATATTCAAACAAAACAAAAAAAGCTAACAATCCACCGTCTTCATGAACTCAATGTCCTCGTCACTACCAATCACCGCTGTCCAATCCTCCCAGTCTCGGTTTTGCGAACCCTCAAAGAAATCAATGCGTACTTTCTCAATCATGAGACGAGCACCCGACAAACCCACAAGTCCAACCATCCAGTCTAGACGACATAAAGCTCTCATAACACGAAAGTATTTCGATCTCTTCCATCCCAAACTTGTCACCAACGGTGAACCCCAAGGCAACCAGTTCACAGGGTCACTTTTCACAATTGTTAATAGTTCCACCGAGTAGAAATACTTGTGGTGCTTTGGGTCAGCAGCACAAAGGCGGTACCAGCCAGTCAAAGAAGCAGCCACCTCTTCGACAGTCCCACCCACCGTGTTCACAGCGGTCATGCCTTCTTTTTCCGCATTAATACGATCCATAGCTGCTTGGAGTCGGTGTGGTACATATTTCGCACAAGCTTGTTCCAGAACGGTTGCAACTACTGCCAAACCACCCTCCCCATACAGGCCATCGATGGCGTTGATTACACAACGCATATGACCCTCCACATCTACCAGACTTGTAAACAAAGGTGGCACAGATGGCGCCGTAGTAGCAGTAAGGGTCTCAGGATACTCAATGAAATTGTCAATAGCGTTAAGATCAAATTCTTCGTTCATAATGAGTTTTTGTTTGTTGGTAAAAGAAAAGAAAAAAAAACTGGCATCCCACCCTCTCCCAAAAAGTCGACAACATGGTTTCAATGATTTTATCAGGCATTGATGTATTTATCTCTTTTAATGTATTTTATCTCGCATTATTCTTCAATAATTTTATCAGGCAATGAGGTATTTGTCTCTTTTAATGTATTTTATCTGTTTTCATGCATTATTTCTTTCTATTTTTTCCCCTCATTGTCTCTCTCTTTTTTTTTCAAACATGATGCAGCAATTCCATACCACCATTGTCGCAAGTCTGATTCCGTCATCAGTAAGACGACTGAATGACAGGTACATGGCCAACCTGTACGACGTCTTCACGGGTATTGTGTCTAGTGAGGTGGAGATACCCATCACGATTTAGGAACCGCAACTGCCGTTGCTGACAGCGTTTGCCAACTTTGTGTTCATGACCGGTGTCATAATGCCACGCACCATCATGTTCAATTTTTTAGGATCGGTGCCTGATACACGACGTCGTGTCAAAACTAGATCCTTCTTTGTGCTACCTACCACCATCCCAGCCGACATCAATGAGGAGATTGTTGCACATTCCTTTTTTGGGTTCATGACTTTAGACCCACGCACCCCCGAAAGTTATTTTATTATGAATAATGGCGTGGATCAAAATCCTTTAAAACATTTGATACCTGTCAAACCCGCCAAAATAGCCTATCGCCGCCACCTCTCGCGTGTCGGAACCAATACTGCGTGCAAGACAGCCGTTCAAAACCAGCACGAACTTGATGCACAACTCAAAGGCATGTATTCATACGAGCGCATGTTTTCCTATCAATTTACAATGGTGTATTATAAAAATAAACATCCGGCCAATACCATTTCCAACTACGCCATATTATAATGAAACAGCATGGACGCACCACCATCTCGATGAAAAGTTTCGGACTATGCTACAACTAACAAACAATAAGCACTGTAACTAATGAAAAGAATAGGCCGACACCATTTATACCAAATAATAAAGACAAATATGGCCCAACACTATTTTCCGACTATTATGTATTATAATAACAGTAACTATACTAAGTTGTGATAATTATGGGTCAAGAAATAAAATGAAACTTTTGATAACTTTATTGTTTTTTTATAATAATAAAAAGACAAGAAGGATCCGTCTAGTTGAATAGTTAATTTCTGCTTTTATATGAGGTTATTAGTAGTCACAATAATGTCAATTATTGTGGATTGTGATCGTGTAACCTAATTCGACTACGGTATAATATGGCTAAATACCACATAACCCCCCATCAGTAGGAGATTAGGTGTTTTTTTTTTTTTTTTTTTTTTTTTTTTTTTTTTTTTCATTTGCGGAAACGAGGACTAAAACGAGTAGCTTTTGGATTAGACTTATGAAAAGCGACAGCTTGCGAATCAACAATAGGAGATCGTTTTCTTTTCAGTGAAAGAGTTGAGGGATCAACTACTTTATCTGTACTACTGGATGGAACATTGTCCAAGGGAATCTGATCAATCAATTTGCTAATAGATCCAGGAGGATTAGACTTCAAAACAGCAGAGCTAGATGGCGCATTGGTGATAACATTGTTCTTTTTGGGAACGTATTCCTTGCCAAGATGTTTCCAATAATTTCTAATGCATGTTACATCATTGAAATTATCAGTGGGAATCCATTCATCCCAATCACTACTATAATTCTTCCATCGAACGAGATACTCCATGTTACTGGGTTTACCCCGATGATTGAGGATTGCTTCAACTTCATAATTTTTTATTTCATTACCTTCATCATCAATGGCAATAATTTCATCGTGAGAAATTAATTTAAGTTCCACGGAAGTGTAATTACGAGGCATAATCATACCCATTGTATCACGCAAAACATAGGAATTACCTTGAGTTTTACGAACAACAGTGCATGGTCCAGTATACGCAGGAGATAATTGACCATCTTTTTCAATTCTTATCATAACATGGTCATTAGGCTTATACTCAACTAAAACATGGTTTTTGTTAAATTTCGCTTCTTCCAATTCAATTTGCAATTTTGTTTTTGCTTCAATAGCAGGAAAAACAATATCATTCATATAATCAATTCTTTTCATAAGTTCTTCATGGGACATAACTCTTTTATTTTCGCCTGTTTTCTTTTTATCATCATCTGCTGTGAAACCATAGGTTTCAGGCATTCGACGAGCAAAAAATAAAGAAAACGGTGAACTATTTAACTTCTTTGATAAACGATTGTTAAGAGCGAGTTGAACTGCATTTAAGTGGAGATCCCAGTTGGCTCCAACACCCTTCGTGGCTTTTGCTAAAAGCTTTTTTACAGATTGTACCATTCTTTCACTAACTCCATTTGCAGAAGCATGTAAAGGCGTAATAAAACGATGGTCGTAACCAAGAGCGTCAGCCAATTCCTTAGACAAATAACTTTTAAACTCAGATCCGTTATCTGATTGGACAATAGAAGGAACTCCGATAAGAGCAAATACGTCAGCAAGGACCTTCACGATAGTAGCTGTTTTCTTATCTTGCAAAGGTCTTAAAATACAAAAACGAGTACACACATCTACAATGACCATAAAATAGTTATTGTTAGAATCAGAAGTAGCAGAAATAGGACCACCTAAATCCATTGCAAGATGTTGACCAGGCAAATAGCTATAAATGTAACGAGCAGGATGAAAACCCCTTTTTTGGATATTATGTCGCATACAGTCATTACATTCACGCACGAATTTCACACAATCACCAATGAGATCAACCCAATGGAGACCTTCCTTATGAAGACGCTTAACCATTTGTTCGGCACCATAGTGACCAATGTTTGTATGAGCATCTTTCAATAACTGATCTCTTTTATCTTCAGGAGGAGTAAAATAGTCAGGACAAATTGTTTGGGCACTTTGTATGTAAAATAGGTTTTTAGATACACAATGAGAGTAATTAGGACTACTGTTACAGTCGACCGTGTTACTGGAATAAGCATTTATGAGATTAACGGTTCTCGAGTGATCGGAACTTTCAGCGCTGGCGCACCTTTCCTTATCAACGAGTATAAGATCTGAATTGATCTTCTTCTTAATATTAATATAGTACGATGTGGCATGGTTCTTCTTAAAAGAAGTAACATGTAACTTTTTCTTCAATTTTTCATGTTGGGCTTCTTCAACTTCTTTGGGAGGATAAAGACGAGATAAAGCATCAGGCAAGACATTGTCGATACCTTTAATATGGATTACCTTAAAATCATAATCCAGCAATATATCCAACCATTTAATAATCATGCGATTAGCAGATTTTTGACTAAAAACGTAACAAAGAGCTTGATGATCGGTATATAATGTAAACCGAGTTCCCCAAATAAATTTATGAAATTGATTAAGGGCATAAATTACTCCATTCAACTCTCGCATGGATGTTGAATACAACCTTTCATGTTTGTTGAAACTTCTCGACATAAAGCCAATATACTTTGTTACGACTACTTTTTCATTGTTATCATTGATACTTTCAAATTGCTGATATAATACACATCCTGTAGCAAAATCACTTGAATCTGTAGCTATACAGTAAGGGTGAGAATGATCAGGTTGAGACAAAACAACATCAGACTGTAATATCTTTTTAAGAGTATCAAAGTGCAATTGATGCGTGTTTGTCCATACAAAAGGTCCTTTTGACTTAATATCGTGAGATCTTAATTGGTCTAAAGGGGCCATTAACGAAGCAGCATTTGGAATATGTTGACGAAAGAAATTAACAAAGCCGAGAAACGATTGCGCTTGCTTTTGCGTTTGAGGAGGAGGCATAGCATCCAAATTTGTTAACTTTCTTTTATCAATTCTTTTACCCGAAGCAGAAAGAGAATATCCTAAAAGATAAACTGCAGACTTGGCAAAATGAGACTTATCGAAATTTATACGTAAATTATTATCCGTAAGGATATTTAATACTGTTTTGACGTGAGAAAAGTGGGCACTCATAGAGTTACTAGCAATACAAACATCATCAACAAAACAAGTAACAAAAGGTAGATCCTTAAATAAGGTTAACATGACTCTACTGAACAATTGACTAATTATGGAAATGCCAAAAGGCGCACCACGGTACATATATTGTAAGTTATTAGGCGCAGTAAATGTCGTTTTAATCTGATCAGCCTCATTGACTGGAAATTGATTAAAAGCGGATTTAAGATCGATCGTAGAAAAAACAACACAACCAGACATAGAATTAAAAATGTCATTGATTAATGGCAAACAATGAGAACTTTTCGATGATTCATCTAAAGCCTCATTCAATTTTCTAGGATCCAATAAAAGCCTAATATTCTTTTTATCCTTACACACAGCACCATCAACGTGGTCCTTTTTAAACGTAACAGTCATGGGTAAATTCCAACCTGATGGTTTAGCAGGAATAATAATACCATCTTTTAACCATGATTGAACAATTTCCATAACAGGTTCCTTCAATGCATACGGAATAGGATATTGTCTAATGTTGGCAATAAATCCCGGAGGAGTAGGTAAGTGTAGTACCGCATCCTTAATTGTACATAGGGTGTTATTATCTAATTTCTTATTTTTATTTACATACGGAATAATTGCCTGATTAAAAGCATATTGTTCCCGTTGCGTACCGAATGGAGAAATATTCGGTTCATAAGCTTCATCATTTTTAGAGTCATCGTGTAACTCTTTTCTCATACTCTTATGTTTAACAGCAACGTTGGTTAAGTGAATACCAAGTTTTTGTAACAAATCAACACCGATCAATAGCTTTTGATCTTCTTTAACCATTTCATCATTAATTACATCGAATTTATGATTGATAATGTGATCGATGTTTTCATACTCAACTAATATGGGGTCAATGGTTTGTAAACGTGCTACTTTAGAACCATCGGCTAAAATTAAACAACCTTGCACGGAGTGAAATTTAATATCATTCGTAATGGCAAACGTTCTGCTTAGCAGACTTACACTTGCTCCTGTATCGATGATACCATAACATTCTATTTTATTTAAGGTTATTGGTGTAACTGGAGACAATGCGGGAGTGTCAGATAAAAACGGATTGTCAACAGTACCAACTAAATTATTTTTTACAGCAAAAACAAACTTATTATGATCATTACAATTATTAACTTTAGCAACAGGTAAGTATTCTTCAATAAAATCTTTATTCAAATAATCATCAAAGAACGCGTTATATTCATCTTCTGATGAATCATCAGAGTGGTACAAATTTTCATCCAGAAGTGCAAGTTCAGGAGGCGAAGGAGAGGAGTTACTATTGATTGATTGCGAATTAATATTTTGATCATTTTCATTGTTAATAGGAGCATGCAACTCATTAGGTGTTTCAGTAACATCTAATTTGCTAACATGTCTATCTTCATTATTATTTAAATTTACCAAAGAGGGCATGTTGTAGTTACGCTTCTTGAAGTAAGCAACCTTTGTGGGGCATGTAACACCGTGAGTACGCGTGTACTCAGCGGTCTTACAATAGGTACATAACCCAGCTTTTTTCAACCTTTCATGTTCAGAGGGGGACATGTACGAGAAGGACGAAGAGGACGAAGACGAAGAGGACGAAGGAGACGAAGAGGACGAAGAGGACGAAGAGGGAGCGGACGAAGAGGACGAAGACGAAGATTGGTTTTCCAAACCAGAAATTTTTCTTTTCTTGTTGACTGATCTTTTTTGATTGTCAGCAGACAACAAGGTTTCAATTGCAGCGACATGGATGGACACTGTCTTTTCGAAAACTGCCCAACTGGCAGGGGCGTAATGAACTTTCTGTTCTGCTTCCAGAGAAAGTTCGGGGTCTTCAGAAATTACTTTCTGCTGATGGACACGAAGAACACCC